TAAAATGGTCCAGCTCTCTTGACAGACACCCCCTCTGAGCTAGTTGTGTAGGAGGGAAGCCCTGTTGCACAAGCAGAAGTCCTTGTGTGGACTTTGCTTTTGCTGATGGGGCTTCTTAGGTGAATCCCAACCCTTTAAGTTTGGGATCACAGGGAATATGATGAAACTGCGATGATACATAGCCTGTATTATAGCATCAGAGAGGCTGCAAACAAAGCTAGCTCAAGAGTGAGGGCAGTGCACTAGTTGCCTGAAATGCTGCTGAAAGATGTAGGCACTGTTTTTGTATGTGAAGAATGCTCCCCTTTTAGGTCAGCCATTCCTAATAGATCCTTCCTACTTTTTTCTGGGGAAAATCCAAAGAAGGAAGTTCTACAATTACTAAAAAGTTCCTTCATAGTGAGTTGAGTCCTATGATTTATCTTAATTTGCACTGTGTAATTTAAGATGATTGCCGATTATCTGCTCAGCAGGGAAGTAGCTTTGCACCTTTTAAAAAATATTAACATTTACACCGGTTTTCTGATTTTTTTTGTTCCTGAAGTGCATTTCCCCACTACATTCTACAGATCAGACAGTAGGAAATTATTGCGTTCACCATACTGAACATTGGACAAACTGGTTATTCTTCTCAAATTCTAACTGGAGGTGCTGGTTGTCATTATGGGCATGATGATTAGGCAAGGATTAGCTGGAAACTAAGGCTTCTACCTCAATATCCACTATTATACTGACAAGTGGAAGGTCTCCTGTCAAACAAGATGACCAGGAGGAGGGGAGATGCTCAAACTTGAACCTGCAGAAAACATTGTCAATCACAGACCCCAAACGCTGCACTACTAAATGTGCAACATTGCACATAAAAACATCCATGCCCATGTTTGACCACCCTGGATTTTTCAAAATGTCAGGGGTTTTTGTGTGTGTGTGTGGCTGTAGGAGGAAAACCGGTATGGTGAGGGAAATAAACTGGATTAGTGCTAGAACAATGATTTCTTGTAAACCCCCAGAAAACAACTTCAAGCAGTAAGGATAGCAATATAAAAGCTATATCTGTCAAGCTATGTGTCTACTCAAGAAGGGTAGGGCTCACTCTGCATAATTATATTGGAAGCCTACCATTTGTATTCAGTCGTTTCTCTTTCTCAAGCTTCTTCTCATTTTCTTTACCTCTCAGAGGATTTGGGTGTATATTGTATACTGAGACATTTCTTTCCCTGCAGCCTTTGAAAATGCACTGTGCAAGCTGTGCCCTAGTAACAAGCTCTGGACACCTCTTGCGAAGCCAACAAGGGAAGAAGATTGACCAGACAGAGTGTGTAATACGAATGAACGATGCGCCCACACGGGGATTTGTAAAAGATGTTGGAAACAAGACGAGTCTGCGAGTCATAGCTCACTCCAGTATGCAGAGAATTTTGCGAAATCGCCATGAACTGTTAAATATGAGCCAAGGGACTGTATTTATCTTCTGGGGTCCAGGCAGCAACATGAGGAGAGATGGAAAAGGATTAATTTATAACAATCTGCAACTGATGAATCAGATACTACCTCAGTTAAAAGTATACATGATATCCCGGCACAAGATGCTTCAAATTGATGATCTCTTCAAGCGGGAAACTGGAAAAGACAGGTAAGAAGCAACTGCATGAGAATATATTGGAGAGCCACTGCCATTGTTTCAGTAGAATGTCAGGTCTGTTGATCATAGTTCATCAATGGGATCACACTACAGAATGTGCTTGCCTTCTCTTAGCTTCCAATAACCTGTTGCATTATTTCATTTTATGCATCAAATAATAATGCCTGGCTTTTGCAGCATAAGCAACAAACATGCAATCAAATAATTTATTTGCCCATCAGTTTTTAATACTAAAAACCAGTGTGTGCCAAATACTGTCAGCAAACAGAACTGCAGAGTAGCACAGAAAGAACATCGATGCTGAATTTAAATCTCACTTTAGGTAATATACCTGAAAGCAGATTTTTACTGGTTTTGAAAAATCAGAATTGATGGGTTTTGCTTTATGGAGCCTATGCTGCCATTCTGTGAATTATAATGGCTACTTATTGAATATAAGCATTCTTGGAACATTGCAGCTGTAAAGCTTCTTGTAAAACAAATACACATTATTCATACATTAGGTGCCTCTAAAGTGTGCCTTCTTATACTTCCATCTTTGAAAGGCCAAGTTATTATGATACTTAGCTCTTTATGAGCCTATTTATGGCTTGCAAACAGATCTTCAAATCATTTTAATTTTTTTTTAAAAAAAGGTGACTAATATGTTTCTCTAGATAGGGCTGGAAATGATATCACCCCTCCTTCCAAAGATGCATTTATTTTTATTAGTTATTTACTCATTACATAGTAAAAACATAATGACAGCATAAGCACCACTTAATGCATTTATGTATAAATTAAGAGCTCACTTTAGAAAGAAGTAAATCTATCTAATAAAGTTATCTGCACTTTCCATTTCAAAATACCGTTATCCGCAATGGAAGTCTTTTGAGGCACACTGCTAAGGGAAAATATGATTTTCATATCCCAAGCTGCTGTATGCTTGGAAACGTTCTTCATTTTAAAAGTGAACACACCTTCCTATCCTTTTGAAAATCCTGGACCTTCAAGTTTTTTGCTGTTCTGAGCAGCTTTTATGTGAATAAGGTTGTTGGCCTGTCATGTAAATGTTGTTGCTCTGAATGTGTGGTATTATGTTGGGTGGTTTAATGACTTTATATTTTTTAAAAGTGTGAATCACCTTGGGAGGATCTGAATTTTGTAGATCTCAAAGTAGGGTATGCTAGTGAGCACCATAAGTTAGATCTGTGGGAACAAAGAGACTACCTGAGAAAATGTGTCTAGGAGTAAGTTAGCGGCACTGAAGCTCTAGGCTCTCTCTCCCAATTCTTATTGGCTATAATACAATCATAGATTTGTAGAGTAGGAAGGGACTCCAAGGCTCATCTAGTCCAACCCCCTGCAATGCAGGAATCTCAACTTGAATCGTACTTGACAGATGGCCATCCAACCTCGGCTTAAAAACCTCAAAGGAAGGACAGTCAGTTCTTCTGTCAAACAGCTGTTCAGAAAGTTCTTCCTGATGTTTAGTTAGAATCTGTTTTCTTGTAACTTGAAGCCACTGGCCTCTGGAGCAGGAAAAAAACAAGCTTCCTCCATCTTCCATGTGACAGCCCTTTAGATATTTGAAGATGGCTATCATATCTCCTCTCAGTCTCCACATACCCAACTCCCTCAACTTATTCCTCATAAGGCTTGGCTTCCAGATCCTTTATCGGCTTGGTCACCCTCTTCTGCACACGTTCCAGCTTGTCAATATCCTCCTTAAACTGTGGTGCTCAGAACTGAACACAGTTTTCAGATGTGTTCTGACCAAGGCAGAATAAAGGAGGACTATTATTTCCCTTGACTATTACTTCCACTATACTTCTGTTGATGCTGCCTAGAATAGCAATTAGCTTTCTTTCTTTCTGCTGCTGCATCACACTCCTGACTCATCTTAAGCTTGTGGTCTGCTTGGTCCTTTTCACATGTTCTACTGGCAAACCAGTTGCCCCCCATCTTATATCTGTGCAGCTGGTTATTCCTGTCTAAGTGTTGGCCAGGAGGCAAAGTTAGTTGGCATAAAGGCTCTGTTAGTGTTTGACCTCAGGTGGATAGGTGAACGCCTTCAATATTGTACCCAAAAAGCCCCCATTTCAGAGCAAACTAGCATATTCAAAGTCAGCCTAAAACGTGCTGCGCAGAAGGTTTTATTTACAATCTTGGATCAGCTTCCTGACCATTAGTACCTCCGTCTTGCCTGGATTGAGCCTCAGCTTTTAGTCTACATCCAGTCTATCACTGTGTTCAGGCAATGGCTGCCTAGCTCCCTTGGTTTCAGTTGAAAATGAGAGATAAAGCAGGGCAACACATTAGCGTATTAATGGGATTCAGGCTAAGATGGCGACGAAGGTAGTTACCAAGTAAGTTCGCTTACCCTTATCAAAGTTTTAAGTGGTTTTAAGTGGTTTTTATCTTCCCCTGTTTTTATCCGAGAGTTTTAATGATCTGCTGGCTGTGCTGGCTTTTATTCAAGAGAGTAGCGTATTAATGGCACGCAACCCCAAATGACCCCAGCTAGGGGCCTCACGTAGATTTTAAAAGTACAAGGGGTAAAACTGAGCCCCGAAGGATCTCACAGAACAAGGGGCTAAAGCAATACTCTTCCAGCACCATGTTCTGGGAAATTCTAACCATTTAGGACCATTGCTCTATATTCCCATACTAGTATACTGTGAGCAACTAAATGTTGAATGCTACCAAGTGGTCCAGCAGAACCAACAGGGTTGCAATCCCCTTGTACAGCTCCTGGCATAAGTAAACACCAAGGCTATTTTAGCCCCCAAACCACGCCTGAACCTAGATGTAGAAATATCCAAAATGTTTTCCTTCAATTAAGAAAGTCTGAATTTGAGCTGGAGTTGACATACACATGACAACACTTAACTATATTGGAACTCGGACTCTAGAATTACTGCCTAATAAAGAAAGGTTGAGTTAAAAGGAAATTGGGAGGAAAAAGCTATTGTGACTGACATACTACCCTAATTAATATAGGTTCATTTGGAAAGGTTTTAACAAGCACTAGGTTGCCACAATAAATTGTAAATATCAGACTGCATAGGTACAATAGCTGACACCTCAGTTTCTATAATAATCTTTAGAACTGTGATTGAAAAGACTGATGCATTATGTGCCCTGTTAAAAACATTTAGAAAATAACAGCCATTAAATGGGACAGCAAATGACAGGCTGAAGAACAATATACTTTTCTATTACGAACTAACTGTACTTGAGAATAAGTTTATAATTGAATAAAAGTCCATTAAGAAAATATGATTCAGAACCAATATTACAGTAATTAGATAAAAGAAGCATAAATGAAATAACTGCAGGAAGAGCATTTCCATAGAGATTATAAATGAGATTTTGATAGAGCAGAAAGGCCTTTAATTGTAATTTAGTATGCTCCACAGAATTATCAGGACAGTGTGTTACTTCATCACATAAAAGAGTATATGATTTCCTCAATAAGCACATGTCATGTCTTCATTTTCTTTCTTTACAACGTAGTAGGTGTAAAAGCAGGAGACAGTCTTTTGTAAGAAACCCTTTTTCAGTTCTTTCTGAAAGAAACACAAAGCAGAGTAACCTTTACTTTGTTTTTTATGCTATAAAACCAATTTTAAAACTGGTCCTTCCAGATTTACATTCTTTATCTTGTTGGACTTTTCACCCATTATTTTCCATTAGGATTTATTAATAATCATCACCTGCCCTTCCTTTTGTAAGAGCCCACAGTAGCTAATAATGCTTTTTTCTAGCTAGTGAAATTATGAATTCTGCCATAAGTAACAAGCAGAATAATAAGACAGTTATTCTACTCAGATATGCTGTTGTTTTTTACACTCTGCTCAGCATACCTCTTTGTAGAGAATTGCCGTAATGCAGCATGGACAAATCACATGCAGAAGAATGTTTGCACATCACTTTTCTGAATCCAGGCTAACATACATTTAAGAAGTGTTATGGTTTATGGTTCTGGTTTTTGGTTGAATTAATCTAGAACATCACCTTCACCCACAATGTGTTACCAGAACAATTTTTTCTTTGAAGTGAGGGGGCGGGAGGTGTACAAATTGTGCAATGTCTACCAGTGTACATGAAGTCTACAGACCATCACACATTTTAAAGGTCTTGTTCAGATCCTTATCACCCTATGGTTTAATAAGGTGTTTCTGTGTTAACTAGAAATGTGTGGGGAACAGATGCATGAGGTCACCTGAGATAGAAGATAGAAGATTCACATTCCTTTGTGTAGCACAAAATGAAAGGTCCAGGTGGTTTAATTCCTGGCATCTCCAGGTAGATGTGGAAATAACTTTTGTTGAAACCGTGGAGAAACACTGACAGTCAGGGTAGACAATACTCTTCTAGATGGGCCCAGTGGTGTGACCAGCAGTATTATGTAAGGCAGGGACATCAAACTCCCAATACTAACAAAATAAAAAATGGCAGTGATCTACCCATTGTCATTGATGGACCAAAGTTGTTGAGCTTATTTTAGGAGGCCACAGTTGTTCCCTCCTCCCTTTGGGGGGGGAGATCACTGAGGGGCCAAAGATCTACCAGGAACACCCCGTGATCTACCAGTAGATAATGATCTACCTGTTGGACATGCCTGACGTAAGGCACCGGGTGGGTTTGGAGTGGCAGTTTGCCATGTTCATGTTGATGGAGTCATTTTTAGAGGAGTCTTGGCTCTGAAAGTGATAAGAAGATACAATCTGGTTTGTTTGGTTGGTGGCATGCTATAGGGAATTTGTCAGAACAGGTTTAGGCTTGTCAGTATCAGGGGTTAAACAAATAGTCAACAGATGGCAAATGAAACCTTGCTCTTCAGTAATAGAGGTATGTTGGCCCAATCGAGAGGAATATATACAATGTCTATAACCTAACCCATTATATAGTGATGCTAAGCTGGAAAATAGTTATTCTCAGCTTTGTTGACTAAAAAGCGGTTTAGCAGTAGTTCTTTAGCTCTTCTGATTTTTTAAAAAAATAAAAGAAGAATAGCTCATTGAAACCCACCTTTTCAAGTAAGTGCTGCTTCTAACTAGCTCAAAGGGTTGATGAGGAGTTGTCTTCTTATGGAACACTTCACCTTAGCTTTCTTCCTGGTTAGTTTTTCATATGCAGGGTTTTATGATGAAAGTAACCTCATGCTACATTTCAGGAGTAGGGAATATAATATAAATGATGCCTGTGAGACAGACAGACTACTAACCTGAGCCTACTTCCTTCTGAGGAAGCAAGCCTCTGTCTGGGATATACCAAGTTAAATTGCAGATAGAGACTAACATGATTGCTCTCCCCCCCCCCCCCCGCCTGCACTCCAAGGTAGTACATCTGAGTCACAAGCTTAGCACTTCAATGATAACTAGATCCAAGACAACTCAGAGTCCAAGGACTCGCATCCCTGTCGTGTTTTCACATGGATACAAAGAGTTCAGATATAATACTGATTTGTTACTCATTCTTACATTTGAAGTAGCACTAATCATTTACATCGGTCCTTGGACTCCTTTCAGTAAGAAAAATTGGCATATGTGACTTCCCCTTGAGAACTTCAATCACTAGTTTAAAATCCTCACAGTTTGTAGATGCTCTGTAAGCTAGGAAATTAGTCATTCAATTAATATGCTATCTGTTCTGGGAAGAATCTTATGAATAAGTGTATCCTTTTTGAGAGGAAGTGTGAAAGCTTGATCTTGTTAGGTTATTAAAGCACATCTGATTCATTATTCTGAAAGCAGAGGCACTGAGATTTCCTGGTGAGAACTGCAGGATATTTGGTAGCCATGAAAACAAAACCCTAACGTAGTGGATTAAGCATGTTTAGAATGCTTAAACGTGTTTGGGCTAAAATTTGGTTTTACCATCACAGTCTTAAACACATACACTTGAGAGTTGATAGGAATAAAAAATTAAGGAGTATCTGCACTTATCACAGGGAAGGAGAAGCCATCAACTACAACAAAGATTTGCATTTGTCACATGCAAGGTGGCTCTTTTCCACCATTTTTGCTTTGATAAGGTTTATGTGGAACTGGTTCTCAAACATATTGCAATCACAGTTCAACAGCCAAGAAAATGTTTGCTGCTCATAAGGTGATTAGGGAGTTTGACACAGGTGGGACACTTTCTCAAGACCCTGTTACAAATGGAGCTCATCATGGAAGATAATATCCTGGGTCATAAGATCAGTACAGCTGTGATTGCTTGAAGTATGTAGCCATATTGCTACAATGACATCCTGTGCTAGTCAAGTAGAGTAGGGCTCCTTATCTTTTCTAGTACCATTTGCTGCTGTCAGTTTTAAGTATCAGTTGCAACATTGTCCACATAGTTGCTTCATTAGTAGCATTTAGTAGCATGGTGAATAACATCATTGCACAGCAGCAGAATTGTTTATTATGTTACTTAAGCATAATGCCTCAAGTTACCTTGAAACATCGCTTCAGTGCAATGGGATTGTTATGTTGCAGGATCCGTATATTGCACCCTGACTTAAAATGTGTATGTACATCCAGTAATTCTTAGATTAACTAGGTGAAGTTATGAAGATTGTTCCTTCCTGTTAATCAGCAGGAATAATGCAAATACAGGGTTTTAAGGTGACTATTATTCAACAAAACGCTAAGGTAAATACTTCTCTTTGCAGTATTATAATGAAAAATGCAATTTCTAAATATAGTTGTTCGCAACTAGGACATAAGTTTATTGCATGGTGGGGGAGTATATATAAAGAATGTGGCTGCCCAATGTTTATAACCTTTTAATATATAACTTTAAAAACCTGCCGTATCGTGGATATCTGTCACAAGTGTTATTTGTCAGCCTAGGATCTTTATTGTTTTTGCTTTCAGGAAGAAGTCAAACACTTGGCTGAGCACTGGTTGGTTTACAATGAGCATCGCATTAGAACTATGTGACAGGATAGACGTCTATGGCATGGTGTCACCAGATTTCTGCAGGTAAATTTTAATCTGGATTTATGATTAGCTTGCAAAATTCAGTGCTATGGATAAATATATGAGTCTATTTTATACTATCCATAAAACGTGTATGTTTTTCCTGAGGCCGTTAATTAGCAGTCCCATGATTGGGTTCTGAAAACAACAAACAGCATTTAATTACACAGCATAAAATATTAAGTTTTTGTTTGTACTGTGAGAGAGAATTAATCCACATCTTGTTAGTTTCTTTTAGGCTCTGAATATTTATCAGCTAAACGTAATGCTGTAACTGGCATGAAATTAATCTTGGGGTGGGGGGAGAGGAGGAAAGCACTGGGAAATATTAATTTAAAAGATTTTGCAAACATTTTTTTCTTAGTGAAGAAGCAGAGTGAATAGTGTGTGTGTGTGTGTGTGTATGCACACACGTTTACAAAAAGTGGGAATTCAGTTGCATATGACCTCTTCACTTGGATTGCTGTGCCCTTTAGATACTTCATGTGTCCAGGGAACAATTCAGGGGTTGGGGAGATTGATTCATGCAGAGAGAAATTTTGAGAAGTCTACCTCACACCATTCCCACCCTCAAACCTCTGCGAGTGGAAGAGATGTGGCTTCTGTCTCATATCTGCCAAATGCATGAAGGAATTTGGTGTGAGCTGAGCCTTAGCAGATCTTGCTGAATACTCAACATTCAGGATGCTCTGTTGGGTAGGAATTATGTTAAAATAAAAGATTTCATTTACTTCTATTCCCTACGTCACCCCAAAGGTGACAAGATTATCACTGTCATTCTCCACTGACTTAACCTTGATTGCCAGGGACAGATTAAATAAACGTATCTTAAGATGCTTCTCAAAGTTTTGGTTATACTCAGCTCTGGAACTGTCTTTCAGAGGCCTGAGTCACTGAGATGCCTCTCTCTTACCTGCCCTCTTAGTGAATGAAATAAATGAAAAGCTGTTGGGTAGGGAGAGGCAGAGACAAATAAAATCCTAAATCTTTTACCAGTATGCTTGTCTGTAATGTATACTTGTGTTTAATCATAAAGATTCAGGGTTTATTTTCTCCACTGAGGCAACATGATTGCTTCCTCCCAGAAGTAGTGCAATAACATTGTGCAAGTTCTGACAGCTGAATGGAAGAGACACTTGAGTTGCCTTTTCTTCTCCCATCACTGCTGCTGTAAACACTGCTATATTTCTGTGCACTATTGATGCAAGATCTGGCTATTGGATGATGCCATTTTAGGGAACTAGAGTGCATTTTACAAACAGCCCTTTGTAAACGTCTCCCAGCTGTGATATTAATAAGCACGTTAACTCTGACAATGCACTGATTAATGTCCAGTATCACAGAGCAGTAAAACAGCATCTGCTATAATATATTAATAAATGAGGATGACTATCAACTTCCTCATATAAATTGCTCATGCATTTCATTTGCTAGCATGAAAATTTAATTGCAAAGTGTGGGAGTTAGCACATCATTCTTAATCTGGGTTATTCACACTGGAGAGATAAAATCATTAAAAGTTATCCAAACTCAGTTTGAAGGTGTTTGGGACTGGAGTAATAATCATCTGGCCCAAGAGACATGAGAGATCCCAGCCTACATAATGCTCTGCATTTTCAGATGGGTGAGGGTGGATCAGTGGTACAGACGAGATCTCCTAGTAGGGCCATTTCCACTAACTAGCAATGTAGAAGCATAAAATAGTGAAAGTGCTTCTGTTTATTTGGAAGATCACTTACTTATTCCTTGTTGTAGGATATCCACGATGCTACTTTCCATCTCAACCATTGTTCTTAGCTGCTTTTCTCCCTCATCCCCCATGTCATTCTTAGTTGAGCTAGAAATTACAAGAAGCACAAAACCGCTATCAGTCAGTGGTTTTTTTCCTTTAATGTGTAGTATAACACAATACATGATGTTCCCACCAGTGCAGTGATTTTGCATACAACACAAATGCCAGGATAGAGAGGACAAAGAAGGGGTTGTATTCTTAAAAACTACTTCTGCCCTTCCTTATAGGATCTGGTTGCAGATTACAAGTAATGGATACTAATCCTTCCTTATAGAAATCTGGTTTCAGCGGTTACCAGCTAGATATGATGGGGTCAAGTGGGGTGCCTCGTAGCCCGTCCTGACTAGCAGTCGAAGCACCCTTCGGGTTGGCAAGTAGATAAAAAGGTGCCGCTTCCCAGCAGGAAGGTAAAAAGGCTTTCCGTGTGCTGCGCTTGGGCTCGCCAGATTGCAGTTTGTCACGGCTGGCCTACATGACCCGGAACGTGTCTTCGGACAGCGCTGGCTCCCAGCCTATAGAGTGAGAGGGGAGCACACAACCCTAGAGTCCTGGCAAGACTGGCCCGTACGGGCAGGGTTACCCTTACTTTTACCTTTTAATAGCAGAGTTGACAGGGCAAACTACTTGCTTAGCGCCATTCATGTGACACAGCACTGCACATCTTCTTGCTAGAAATGAACACGCACACACAGTTTCACAAATGTGCAAAGACTCTCTTGTCTACTGGAGATCACATCTAAAGGGTGATCCATGCACAGAACCACAGTTCAAGCTTTCTGAATCAGAACATCTATATCTACATTTATGGCATCAAACTAGGGCATTATATTATTTTACTTTTTAATATACTGATTTTTTGTCGTGTTAAACTAAAATGAAAATCTTACATTAATTTAATCCAGAAACTCACAGCCTATTTTTGACACGTTTTAAAATAATTAAATGCATATATACCCATTTTCACTCCAAAGTAGGGCTTTTGTAGATAAAGTTCTAGTAATACATTTTTCCAGCGGAGTTGTCTAAGTTATAAAATGCATATATTCAGAAAAGCAATTTTTAATATTTGTATAAAATTAATGCCACTGTTGTGTAATGGAAAACTAGACAGAATGAATTAAAAACACTAATCTAAATGGAAAGCAGCAATGTTAAGAATACACATGATACTGAGAGTGGCCGAGTAACAAAATGAGGAACTGCTTTGCACAGTTAAAGTGTTATGTAATAACAGATCAAAGCAGTATAGCTTTATAAATATTGCCTTTTGTGTCTATTTTTTGCATGTGCTGTTAACTGAATTCCTTTTTTATGTGTGCAGTACTGCTGCATGTTACCGTATTTTTCGTCCCATAGGACGCTCCGTCCCATAGGACGCACCAATTTTTTTGGGGGGGGGGGAATAAAGGAAAAAAAAATTCCTTTATTTTCCCCCCAAAACCAGGTAGGGGGAACAGTGGGATGGTGGCGCTGCGCCTCCCCGCTGTCCCCCAAGCTTGTGGGGCTGGCCGATGTCTGCCCAGCGCGAGGGGCGCTCTGCTTCAGGGCGCCCCACGCGCGGGACGGCAGGCTGCGGACACCTGCACGAGGCACGGGCGTCCTAGGGAGGGCGCCCCGTGCTCCGCGCTGCAGGCTGCCACCCGCAAGCCTTGCGCGCCCGGGGGGAGTTCCTCTGGGCACGCAAGGCTTGCGCACAGCTGCGTGAAGCACTGGGCGTCCTCCGAAGGGCGCCCCGTGCTCCGCGCTGCAGGCTGCCGCCCGCAAGCCGTGAACACCCGGCGGGGAGTTCCCCCGTGCGCGCAAGGCTTGCGGACAGCTGCGTGAAGCGTGGGGCGTCCTACGGAGGGCGCCCCGTGCTCCGCGCTGTCGGCTGCTGCCTGCAAGCCGTGGGCATCGCTCTGGGAGCTTTGCAGGGTCTGGAGGAGGGGAGGGCAGGCTTTCTCCCCCCCCCAGCCTTCTAACCAATCGGGGACAGCAGGAATAAGCGCGCTGCGCCTCCCGCTGTGCCCCCGAAGTTTGCAGGCTGGTGATGGGAGGAGCAGCTTTCTCCCCCCCCCCCGCCAGCCTTCTAAGCAAGTTGGGGACAGCGAGGAAAGGCGCACTGGGCCTTCCCGCTGTCCCCCGAGTTGGGGGCTGGCGTGGGGAGGAGCAGGCTTCTCCCCCCCGCCAGCCTTCTTAAGCAAGTCGGGACAGCAGGAAAGGCGCCGCTGCGCCCTCCCGCTGTCCCCCGGTTTTCCGCGGGGCTGGCAGTCGGGGCTCTCCTGCAAACCTGGAGAGCGAGAGGGGTCGGTGCGCACCAAACCCCTCTCGCTCTCCAGCTTCAGCGAAAGCCTGCATTCGCCCCATAGGACACACACACATTTCCCCTTCATTTTTGGAGGGGAAAAGTGCGTCCTATAGGGTGAAAAATACGGTACACTGCAAAAAAAAGAGTCCAACTGTAGATATTTTTAACTGCTACACTCCCACTTGCCTTGAAACCTACAATAGATGGCAATGCACAAGAACACAAAGAGGAGCCCTGCAGGATCAGGCCAGCGGCTCATGTAGTCCAGCTGTCTAGTCTCTCAGTGGCCAACCGCATGCCTATGGGAAGCTCAAAAGCACAGCCTGAGCACCACAACATTCTCCTAAACTTATGCTTCTCTGCAACTGGCATATTGCCTCCACAGTGGACGCAGAACATAGAAATCACTGTTATTAGCTGTTACCCACTCCAAATCCAGTCCATGTATAACTGGCTAATATATTTTAAGTTTTTCTCCTTGTGGCATGTCCCAGCAGGGGATGTGGTGCCTCTGAGAACGCAGCATGCATCTGTGTAGAAGCTGACATGCAACTCTGGCCTCCAGGAAGCAACTACTGTGACCAAGATGGCTGAAAAATGTAGTGCCCTGATTACAGAAAAAGCTTCCAGGAGGCAGAGCCATGTAACATTTCCAGTGGTGGAACACACAATTTGCACGCATAAGGCACCAGATTCAATTCTCACCATTTCCAGGCAGATATGAGAAAGGCTCCTGTTAAAAAACTAGGAGAGCCACTGCCAGTCAATAGCAAGCTAAATGAGCTGACTCCGTGGACAGGCTTCCTCAACCTCAACCTCAGCCCTCCAGATGTTTTGAGACTACAATTCCCATCATCCCTGACCACTGGCGGTGGTGAATGAAAGGATCTTTTCTCGCTTGGAAACAAGACACAAAACAGAAGTTTAAGATATTACCAGTCCTCAGTTTCTTATTGCAGAATCAGTCATTTCCTTAGCTTCTCAAAACAGACTGATAAAACACTAGCAAAGTTCCCACAAACATGCAGTCCTTCCAAAAGTGACCCAAAACTTTCTATAAACCTTCACATCTGAGTTTAACACCCTTCCTTATTTTAATAATTGCAAGGTGTTTAGTCACTCATCCTGGTTTAGAGGATTTTTGTAAGGAAGGAGGTAGAAAAAGTCACATTTTCCCCAACAGAACAGAACTGTTGTAATGCAGTACTTTTGCTTAGGCAATGTGTCACCTTTTGACTGCCAGATTTTATCATCCAGTACAGAATTTATATGTTTGTAGCAAAAATTACAAATAGCACCTCCAGTATTGCATTGACAACATAGCTTAAAACAGGCATCCCCAACCTTCGGCCCTCCAGATGTTTTGGACTACAATTCCCAACATCCCTGACCACTGGGTCCTGTTGGCTAGGGATCATGGGAGTTGTAGGCCAAAACATCTGGAGGGCCACAGGTTGGGGGTGCCTGGCTTAAAACACAACACCCCAAATGCTGAAGTCTTAACTTCCCAAGGATTCTGTGCACTTGTATGTTAAAAGATGACCAATTCAATTTTAGGAAGCCTTGTAAAGGGAAAGCAGGCCAGAATAATTGGTCTACAGGCAGCTCATTTAGTAGTTGTGTGTAGTAGGATAGATATGGAACTGGTGCCCAGCAAATCTTCCGTTGTGGTCACTTGTACATTTTATTTTGCCAGATTGGTTTTTGTGTTGTCTTGTTTTTGTTTGCTTAAATTGGACACGACTTCGGTAAGGTGGAGAAAACTGTACCCAAGTCACAGGCCTTAAACACAGAGAGAAAGCAAACAAGTACAGGTCACTCACTATTTCTTCTTTGTTGAAATGGTGCTGGAATTAAATGCAGGCACTTTTCTTCCAAGAACCTACAGCTGACACAGAGAGGAAATGCATTTGAACCAATTCATGGCTAAAATTATTTGGGCAGATCTTCTAAATGCTGTGCCCTAAATTATACACACCCCGCAGGATAGCATGGGATGGAGGTTATGTTTCTTTTTCTTCCTAGGACAGTAGTTAGCTGTTTTAATGTTCACATACAGAAATAATAAAATGACTACTGCTAAATTAAATTTTCTTTGTAAACAACTTCCATTCCCATTAAAAATCACATGACAATGGCTATTGACATCCCACAGCTGGGGCTACAGTGAAATGTGCTTTTATCCTATGTGCCATGCTGGAAGGATTTTCATGCGTTTGAATTGCAGAATCAAAGGGCTGGAGTTGGCTTTCCATTTGGCAGCCTGTTCCTTTGAATGCCTCTGCAGGTTCTTTCTCAAAATCTAAGCTAAACATATACCTATTTCAAGCATCAAGCATCAATGTAACAATGTGGTAAATTCTCCCAGCACACTCAACTGCCTTCTTTTAGAGTAGCAATGTTTTAGTAAGATTCAGGAAAATAATTGAAACACTGCTTAAAATACTATTTTTAAAAAATATTCAAAATTCAGCATGAGCTGGGACCAAAAGAAGGAGGACGATTTTGAACCTATCAGTTTATTAATGATAGCATCTCTTTTCAATTGTACACCTGGGCTTTCAATCTTTTTTCTCTTTCCTTCTGCAGGGTTCCTAATCATCCTTCAGTACCTTATCATTATTACGAACCTGTAGGACCTGATGAATGTACAATGTACATTTCACATGAACGGGGAAGAAAGGGCAGTCACCATCGTTTTATCACAGAAAAACGAGTGTTCGAGAATTGGGCCCGGACATTCAATATTCACTTTTTTCAGCCAGACTGGAAACCAGAATCACTTCCTATAACTCATGCTAAGATTAAAATGGTATTCTAAGGAATGAATGCACAAAGTTGTAATCACAATCACTTACTGTATCAGGCTTCAGGGGAACTGAACATTGTATCAGAGCAAGCCAACCTGGAAAAAAGAAAGGTTAACAGGGTTTGCGGATAAAAACTGCTACAATATTCAGGAAGTTATTGCAAAGGAGTACCTAAAATGGACATTTGGTATCCAGTTGTATCTTAATTGAACATTTTAACTTCTGTCCATCAGCCTCACATATGTGTATGTGATTTGTTAAAAAGAGGAGGAAAGGGATGAAGAAACCTGTGGTATAATAAGAATAATTCAAGAGATGTTTAATTCTTTATGTTTTTAAGGCACGTTGCCGCTGGGTTTTCATAGTGACATTTAACAGTTACTTACTTAGTGGAGGTTTTTTAATGCAATCCAGTATTTTTCTATTTCACAATGATATGGTTATTTATCTTTCATAATCCCTCCAAAACTGAGGATTTATATACTGCTGCTGGTTTAAGGCCCAGCTTCTTGTTTATACATTTTCTCTTTGAAATATAAGATGATTCTATCTAGCATGTAATTAATATTTGATCTGGAAGCTATGTGCTTTATTTATTTCTTTTTTTACTCTTGGGCTCTGTTCCAGCATCAAGCCATTTGACAGCAAGCACATCTTTATGTGAAGCTCTAGCAGAGACGGGTGCCCAAAATTACAGTATTACAGTATGCGGCATCACACACACAAATAAAGAGAAATGCAGAGGACCAGTTTAGGGACTTTCCATCTCTCAGTCATTGTTTTTAGTCTTTTCGTATTTCTAGCAACTCACTTTCCATAGTATCACAGCAGTCTGGCCTTGTGCTGCCCTCAGCCTACCTGACCAAAAGGTGTTCTAAGCAAGCTGAGCCACTAACGTGCAGGTGTTGGTGTGTTGTTTTTGCACATGCTCTGCGAGCAATTGCTTAGTTTGTTTGTTTTTTTCAAATTTATAAAAGCGTTTTACAAAAATCATTGTTATGATGATGACAGAAGCTATACAGGCCGACATGGGGGCAGTAATGAAACCAACAAAGGCCAACTGCATCCTTCTCTGGGCATAGCAGAGCCCAGACCTTTGTAAATACAGGGTTTGTGTATAACTAAGTAGCAGCTGAGGGAAGGCAGGTGAACACAGAGGAAGTTTCCACCTCGTCAACCAACTTCATGTAAGTTTTGAGGTGTGGTAAGCAGACTGCATGGTTCAGTGATTGAGTCCAACGAAATTCTATGTGGATCTAATGTTGGTCCTGACTCAACATGAATAAAAGGTGCCGGTTTCTTTTGAGATGCACTGGACAATATGAAATTCTTTCAAATCAGACTGAATGGCACTAATAGTTCTGTATGTTGATACTTGCACATTTTGTTTTTGTGGGATTATACCTGGCTGATGAATAAAGAGGATTTCATTTTCAGTGTTATTTGTCCTTTCCCCTCACAAATGCTCAAAGTCAAATCACTTCTTCAAAGGAATTGCCGAGAATTACTTGACCTATTGCACACTGCCATACACCAGTAGTTCAAATGATGAAATCCTTTCACATCACAGGCACTAAAAACAGAGTTAGGTTGCCATCAAGGGGTCAGGTTATTTTAAATTGCTCAGCACTGAAAACCATAATACACAGGAGCCGTGCCTAGGGGTGATGTGAAATTTCTCTTTCTATTTAAGCTGAACTTCAGAATCTGTAGGGATCAAGTGAGTCTTGCTATGATTCCCTATTCTTACAGCGTGGGGGGGGAGAGAGGATTGCAGTACTGAACCCTAGTGTATACCATCAAGTTCCAGGTCCTCCAGGTGCCATAGAGGAACAGACCACTCTATGACCTTGGTTATATTGAGGGGAATTGTCTCTCTTGCATGCAACTACTTCTGACTACTGAAAATGAAGTGGGGGCTGAGCCATATGTGAGTAGAAATGATACTGCCAGAAAGCCTTCAACATATTGCAAGGGACTGTGAGATACTGAGTCTCACAGGGTTGAAGGACCCTGGGGGCACATGTGGTTATTTCACCACTCCTTCCTGTTGAAGGTCATGGCCCAGGAAGAAAATACTGGAAGATAAAAACAGGCTGTGCAAATGGTATCATTGGGAAAGATTCAGTTTCTTTGACCATGGTCCCCACTTCCATGGAGGACTTCTTACAAGAGATGGATTGTGCCTCACAGTAGCTGGCAAGAATGAGTTTGCTTTAAACTGAATTCCGAGGGGGAGGGAGATAATCAGAGGACACGGGTAACCAAATACTGGGGATACTTAACGGATGTACAGGAAACAGCTAAAATGCAGGAAAAAACAAGAAGCAACTGGAGGGAATGCCTCATGGTTCAGTTGTCTCTATACTATACTATGCACAGAGCATGGGAAACAAACAAGATGAACTTCAACTATTAAGATATCAAATAACTGGCTAGGGTTTACTGAAACCTGGTGTGATAAGACTTGTGAGTGGAATGTAATAACTATGGGCTATCATCTATTCAAAAGGAATAGACCAAACATTATATGTAAAGGATGTGTACACCTTTGTCTTGGGGCATGGAAGACATTTGGGTAAAAACTCCTATAGACCTCCAAGCCAGACTGAAGACTTAGATGATGCCTTCCTACAGCAGATTACCAAACATTCAAAAAGGAGATATATAACAGTCATTGAGTGCTTTGACTACCCTGGTATCTACTGGAATGCAAACTGCTAACAATATAAGGTCCAACAAATTCCTCCATTGCCTAGCTGACAGTTTCTAGTGGGTAAGAGATCCCATGGTCGAAATACTTGAGTTCAAGATGGATGGGCATTTCTTAAAGGTGGTATGTTAAAGGTACAATTGCAAACAATGCCAACAAGAAATAAAAGTGGAAGGCATATAAAGAAACTGATGGGGCAGAATAAGGAGCTTTCAGATTAGCTGATATTTAGAAGGAGCATATATAAAAATGAAAGAAGGAGGAAATCATGTAGAAGTATTCACAAGGAGCCAAAACTTGCAGAAAGAACAAGCTCAGGCTTGAAGCATAGATAGATTACTTTCAGGTTATGAACTCTTGACTTTGACAGCCCATGCTTCTCCAAGAGAAAGAATGGAGTTAGTTAGGGCTGGGTATAAGAACAATGTTTGACAAGCCACACTATATACAGGAGAATGCAGAGTCCTGTATTTGTAAAACAAAATTCCAGAAAAGCAGGAATCTACCCTTGAAAATTGATGTCATGACTTTGGGAGAGTGCTTATTATTATTATTATTATAAATTGATGTATAGATAATTTTAAATAAATTGCATGGCCTTTTCATCCCCAAGGTGATTTACAACCATAAAGACGCAGCTTTACAATAAACACTAATAAAAACTAAGAGTCACATTTAAAAAACAAACTTACAAGCAGCATCAGAAGAAAATGACAATTCATTTAAAACTTGGCAGAATAAATATGTCTGGAACCATCTGTCTTTTCTAAGCATATCTGTTATTATGGAACTGCTTCTTTAAGAAATAGTTGAAGAGGGATCATTGGGAAAGGGAGGGAGGAAACTAGGTTGTTGTTTTGGTGCCTGACCTGCAGCTTCTATATGCCTTCCAGATGTTGCTGAACTCCTAATTCCTACCATCCCTGACCACTAGCCATATGAACTGGCACTGATGAGGGCTGGAATCCAACTGTAGCTGGAGGCCATCGTGTTGACTAACCCTGATCTATAGGCTATGACCGAGTGCAGTACATTATATAGTCTATACTCCCATCTTCATCAGACTGTTGTCCCATGGCACACTGGAATGTGGGGGGGGAGAGATTTTAGGTTGGCAAAAGTAGTATAATTTTGGGGAGGGGCAGAACCTACAAACCAGACAAGGAAGTGATGCTTTCTCTCCTTTTGCACATTACAAAACCTAAGCCCTGTCTCCCAAGTTGTGACTCGGATGCTATCAGCAGCCCAGATACCATTTCCTTTAAAAGCATGGGAATGCCTCTTGTTTCTGCAGAGAACATTCACACTTGCACAATGTATTTGCCACAGTTTTTATTGATTTTTGTTATTGTGTGTGGCTGCTAACAGAAAAGAGGAAGGTGGATTGAATGCTGGATGAAAAAACACTTAATTCCATACCTGCTTGTACTTTAGGCTCCATTAGTGATTGTGTCGTTAACACGAATTCCCAGGCTTCCCTAAATAGAGACCCTGGGATGCTACAGCCTTTTCAGCATAACCTTGAAAGCACCTCTATTAGTTTCTACACTTACGCAAAAGTACAACAAAGATAAAAATAAAAGCTTTGAGAACTGGAGTTTTTTAAAAAACAGGTCACCATAGTGTGTCTCTGCAGGGATATTATTGTCATTGCTATTGTAATTACCATTCCTAGAAACTCATAATTACATCCAACACCTATAAAAAAGGAACTGCAAAAACTGTCCTCAGAAAGGCTGGAGAACAGAAGAGTATTTGCCTTGGCCTTGTACAGTATGCCCGCATTTTACACAGACTTAATTTGTGTGATTTCAACTATGTGCAGGCAAATCGGGGAAGTCAGATTGTTGGAAGTCTCGCAAGAGCGCCCCTAACACTCTCAGAACCAGGGCACTGAGCAAGCAGCACTAAGAGTGTAAAAGCTCCTTCCGTGCTGGGTAAACTTAAGCAGCCCCAATGCAAAAAGAGCTTTAAGCCACACAGGTGTACACTGTAAAAAGTGTGAACTAGATTTTGTACAGGGCCTCCGTTTCCTGGCCTTAGATTTTCTTTGAAAGGAACTCTGTCCTCCTTTCTTAGACCTATACTGGGCACAATCAAATGTGTTGCTAGCACTGCCCTTAATCTGGAAGTCAGACATAGCACATTAAGCAGCTTGGCATAGATATACCATGCATTACTGGCTCTGAATCTTCACTGTCTCTCCAATGTCTCAGGCATGTCAGATGCTGTGAGACTCTTTGGGGTCTATATTGAAGTATGTCAATGGGAATAATTTGTGTTGCTGGTTTGCCTCCTTGGACCTAGTGCAAGTCAAATATATGGCTACACAGAAAATAGAAGATGTGGAAGTCCCAGAGTTACACGCATCAGCTAATGGGTCATGTACAACACAGTTACTTGGCCTTAGTCTGCCTCTGACAAATGTATGCCATTTCTAAATAGAAGAGCAGTTTTATTGCTTTACCTTGTAAGAAGATCGTAGATTTCCCAAGGTTCCCTTTCCAGGATAGCTGCAGAAATCGAAATCGCCTTTCACCTGTTCTTCTACTGTAGATTTTATCAATGGCTCGGAGAAAACATTATTTAGCGTCTTATGAAGAGTTTTCCTGGTTGATCAAAAAGGGTCTTTTTTAGTACCTTCCTTGAGGGGACTAATAAATCTGTTACTGAACAGGCAGCAAAATATCTGAATGCTTTATCTCTCATACATACTATGATCGTTCATTATTCACTTGTCAGTGTTAATAAACTGGTTCTACTGAGGCTGTGATTTTGTATTTTATACTTTGGTCAGTTGACTGTAATAGACAGATTGTTCAAGGTTCTAGCCATGTCCTATGGTACTCCATTCCACCCCTTCTCTCCCCCCCCCCCCCATTTTGTACTCTGTGGCCACTAAGCATGCACAGCCCTCATTGGACTGTTCTGAAATGTAATGTTTTGGCCCCATAAGCTACTTACAGCCCATTCCGTGTTCCATGGTAACTTTGCATACTGTGATGCATCTAGCTGCTATAGTAGTGTCAACACACACTGCTGTACATATCCAGTACCCTAGTTTGGTTGCAAAAGATTTCACCAACACTGGAGTCCTTCAGACCTTGAATGCTATATACCTCATTGGAGTGTGCTCACAAGAATATTAGATGTGTTCAATAATAAGCTGCTGGACACTGCAAGCGCCAAAAAAGGAAAAGATTGTGGATGTTACAATCCAATTGCTTTCCATTCTCTGTGCATCAAAGAATCTTACCCTCAGACTCATTGAGCATGGATTGCTGCATTTCAATCTAATTGCTTTTCTCACCTCTGTTAATCAGCTTTGCCGGCATACTTACTGCTTTTTCCGTTTCATAAATTGTATTTTAATAACCCACCTAATTGCCTCTTTTCCCTAAGCAGATTATCTTTTCAGAAGGACGTCTTGACTTGTATCTCCACGTCTCCTCAGAATCCATCCAAAGTCTGCTGCTTTTACTCAGATGGGCAGTTTTTTAGGCAGAACGAGAGGTCTAGATGAGGCCTACAGAGTGGGGATGACAGAGTTTAATTGCAAGTGAAACAGGCCTCTATTAAATTCACTGTCAATGTGACAACTTATGTCCATAAAACACATTTATCGTTAGATTTATAAAATATGATAAATGCAAATGTAAAGAAAAAAGAAAAGTGGAATCATTGTCAGATACTTGAATCAATGAATTATACACAGATAGCCCTTTAAAGACTAATTAAATGTAAAAAAAAATGGTGTATCGGTATATTTCATTTAAAAAAACCTTTTCAGAACTTAAATTCCTCTAAACACTTTGTGCATTTGTTTTTAAAGAAAGCTGAATTTCTAAATGTGAGGTAATTGTTTGCAAAGGATTTTGGGCCAACTATCCTGAGAATGAAGCTTTCTTTTCATCCACAAATCTGACAAAATGGTGTCTTTGATCATCATAGGTTTGCAGGTGTACCTACCTCTAAAAAGGTGAGTTATTTTCCCATTTTCTGACATTTTCTTAAAGATAGTACAGGCAAGGTGGCTCATTTTATGCTCATTGTGGCCTAGAAGAAGCCTGTGATTGTATTCACAATGATTAGATTATCTTGGGTGTCATTCTGACCCAGGTTTTCCTGGCCAAGTATTCTCAGCAACCATCTATTCATAAATTTATCAAGAGCGGTAGAAAGAAGGTTATTTCTCACTTCCCGGTAACAGATGAATTGGCCATGCTGAGGAAATTATTTGAACCAAGTTTATCGCTGTCTCCCATTACTGAGCCATCCAGCTTATTGAGGTGTGGGCCAAAGAACTGTGAGTGAAAGGGGGGGTGTATTGGTGCTGTTCAGTAAGCTCTTCCACAATCCAACAGAGTATTCTCTCAGTGCAGTACACTATGCACCAGGATGTGTTACAGTAAGAGAAGCACCAATTAGGAAAGAGACAGGCTAAAACATATACACACTAGCACTTAGGTTCTTAACCTGTGGTCCACAGACAGTCCATGAACCAGGTGCAAAAGAAGGGATGTTCTTCTATTTTCTTCCTGATACTTTGAAAACTGTGTTTGTGGGGTGAAAAAAAATTCATATCAAATTTATTGGGTGGGGGTCCATCAAATTATCAAAGAGGCCCATGACCTCCTAAAAGGTGAAGAACCGCTGCTCTAGTGATGACAAAGAAAGAACAAGATTTGGGCAAAAGTCTCTTGCAGTCTTGTGCAAGTGTCTCTCTGGATTTGGGCCACTTCTGATGTCACATTTCTTTCCTAGATCAGAAAAGGCTCTTCCATGAGAAGAGGCAGCATTTTACAAAAGAAAGGACATATTTGGATCCGACCTGAAGTCTTCAATGCCTCATAAAACAGCACTTTCCACACAGATTGCCCACTCACCTCTGTATGATGTTGAGTGGACTGAAGGACAATACAGTGGTACCTCGGGTTAAGAACTTAATTCGTTCTGGATGTCCATTCTTAACCTGAAACTGTTCTTAACCTGAGGTACCACTTTAGCTAATGGGGCCTCCTGCTGCCGCCATGCTGCCACCACGCGATTTCTGTTCTCATCCTGAAGGAAAGTCCTTAACCCAAGGTAATATTTTTGGGTTAGCGGAATCTGTAACCTGAAGCGTCTGTAATCCGAGGTACCACTGTAAACATACACAGCTAACACTGTAACTGATAAAGTCTGTTTTGTATGTTTCCGTTTCATTCCACAGAACAGTATGGCATACTTACCAAGATATTGTGCTTGTGGAACAGAAACTGCATCACGCTCACCTGAGAGAGATACTGTTGCTATGGCACTTCAGACTTAAAGGGATTTATTTTTGTTCCACTTTATTTATTATTTAGATTTATACCCTGCATCTTCCTTCAGAGGAGCCCAGAGCAGCACGTTAACTATATGCAATCCACAACTCCCAACTTCATGAACGAAAAATACTGCAGTGATACAGATTGAATGCTATGTTTAGGGCATGTCATCTTAGAGGGGAAAACATAATTTTTGCAAATTTCTTCAGTGAGCGGTCTTAAAAATATGTTTTTGGTTAAATCTGCTACTGAACAACATTTAGTTTGGTAAGTCTACGTTTGATGAAGAAGCCCATAAACTGTTTTCAGAAAACCAAATTACAATTTTACTTTCTGAAAAGGTTAGGTAATGCAAAACAAACAAATAAATTAACTGAAAGGACTTGGGAATCATTTTTAATTATTTCTACGCAATTTTACATACATTTTACTTACCAAGCAAAACTAAATAATATTAAATTAACCCAAATATCTTTGGAATTCCCAAGTCATGTTACAACTTTTCAGCACTCCTCATTTTTGGAATTCAAAAGTTCAGAAATTCAACGTGCTCTAATGTGGCAACCTTTCATATTGGAGCCACTCCATATGAGGACATGTTTAGTAACCAATAAATTTAATTGCATAATGCTTATTATGGTCCACCCCAAATCATTCTGCAGCAAGCCATTCTTCTTCCTACTTTTGTTTCTCTGTGAACAGATTTAATTCATTAAGAGCAGAACACAAAGAACAAATAAATAATACACCTGACAACAAAATGTATAGCTCAGTTTTCAAGTACATAGTCCTAATGGATTTTTTCCCCATGAATCTCGTTTTTAACAACTTGTTCTTCTTAACAAGATACTGAAGAACATAAAGTGATTTCAGAAAGTCAGACAGCATATCCTTCTGCTGAACACAAGGCAGTGCGTGGGTTCTCTCACCAAGCAGATCCAGGAAATACTTTCTTTGGGCCTTTTTTGTTTCCAATTCTAATCATTCTTGGAATCCAAGAAGCAAAACTGCCCTAGGTAAAAGGATTGATCTAAAGGGCTGTATTTAACAGAGCGAAATCAATATTTCCTACGGTATTTTTGTTTCTGTTGAGCAAGTGTTCAATATGTCACTGCAAAAGTCCGCAAAGTGACTTAAGTCTATATTGATAAAATGACATCTTAAATAAGGTTCTGCATATTGTCTAGACCTTCATTTCAGTGATGGGGGTAATGATTACCGTATTTTTCGCTCCATTGGACGCACCGGACCATAGGACGCACCAGACCATAGGAGGGGGAGAACAGGGGAAATTTTTTTTTTCTTGTTCTTCCCCTCTAAAACAAGGTGCGTTCAAGGTACATTCACCAGAGCTTGTGGGGCTGGCGGTGGGGGGAAGCGCTGCTTTCCCCCACCGCCAGCCTCAAAGATCTCTGAAGCCTTTGGAGCGCAGCACCCTGCTGCCCTGCAGAGGTTTGCGCGCAGCCGTCCCCAAGCTAGAGCAGCGAGACGGAGCACTCCGCAGTGCTCCGTCTTCCTGTTCTGCCTTTGGGCTTAGCGGCGCAGCCTGCATTCGCTCTATAGGACGCACACACATTTCCCCTTAATTTTTGGAGGGGAAAATGTGCGTCCTATAGAACGAAAAATACGGTACATAAGAAGCAGCAGTAGTAGTAATAGTAGTAGAAGAAGAAGTAGAGAGAGAAAAATAATCTTTTTACAACTTACAATTTGTTCTGCAGTCCACATGCAGGGCAATGCCACCCTGAATACTCCTTGTATAGTAGATACAAATGCTATTCTCCCTGAAGCAAACTCAGATAAGACGAAGCCTGCTTTTACCCCTTTGGAGTGCCTTTACTCCTGTTAGGTTGCTCATTCATTTCAATGAAGGAGGAGGGAAGGATTCTCACTGTGTCCTTGGAAGTTTTATAAAACGTGTTCAAAATGGGTATTAAACAGCTGCATTTAACAATACAAAACACAAAGTAAAAATGTGCAAGTATCATAACAAGTGGGGTGGTGGAGAAGAATTTTCCGGTAGAAGACCTCATTTTTATGCATTCAGAGCAAGACATCTTGATTGCTCTAAGGGTCTAAAAGATGTGTTTCATGTGTTTGATTCCGTAGGTTTTAAAGAAGACCATGATAATGAGCGCCCAGAGTCCTAAGATAAACCCTCCGGGAGGATGCCAGTCTTTCTGTTTTGGTTTCTGCGAAGCAAAAAGCAAAAAGGAAAGGAAAAAGTTAATATTCAATGTTCACTACCAGATAAGGGTTAAAAAGAAAAAGCACAGGACTCTTTGGGTGACAACAGCACCAATGGAGGTATCTGCTCACAAAAGAAGAGGAAGCTCCCTGTCTGCCCTCGATATTCCCATGTCAGGTAGCCCCTAGTGCCCCCATCTATCTCAGAGGGTTGAGAGATGCCCCAGAACAAGACTGTTGTGTGCTACAACAGACATCTCCTGTTGGATCAACAAAAATATTGATGAAATTCGCTGAAATGTGGCAATATATTACAGCCAGGTAGACCACGTTATAGTGCGATAAAGCAACCATTTTAGTTCTTTTTTTCGAGTGTCAAAGATACTGTGTGTGCGTGTGTGCGCACGCACAAACACCTATTTTATTTGTAGAGGATTGTGCACTGAAATTTATACAGAGTAGAATGGAATGGTTAGTTTCCTTAGCTATGGACGAGTCTACAAATGTCAGGTACCACTACAATCTGGTTTGTCAGGGGAAGGGGAGGCGGACAGAACCTTTTCAGAATGTTTATAGGAACATGATTCAATGAAATGATAGGTTTTTTAAAATATATATACAAAAAAATAAAAAGTATTTAAAGCAATGAATGATGCAGACAACTCTGTAGCTTATAGTAATGAGATAACAGGCAACTGCAAATGAATGGCTAAGCAACTCTCATTAACAATAAAATGGATGAAGCTCCAATCAGTCTCCGCAATAGTATTCACATGCACTTTCTCCCAAAATATCAAGCCAACACACACACACACACACACAGCAAGTAACAGCTCCTACACCTCACACAAAAGAACCTTTCTGGTTTAAATTTTCCTAATTAACCCAGAACTTCATATGCATATTGCATTGCTCATTTCATCAATCTCTTTGTGCTATCAATCTTTCTTCACTTGGATCTCATACAAATCCTTACCACAAAGTGGCACCTGACCCTCCTAGACAAATGACTTCAATTTGCAGCCAGTGACACTAAAAGCCTTTCTCGTCTATTTTGTACAGAACACGTAATTTAATTTCTTTAAAGAAATTTATTGGAATAAATATTTATAAGGTGACCCCGGTGGAAGGTTTTACATCTTGTCATACAACACACCAAAGCTGCCACCCCAACTGCCTTCCTGGGCTCTGAAATTCCAAGGGAGATCTGGCAAAAGGAATGCTTTTTATATTTGAATTCAAGAGCACATAAATAATCTGTTCAAAGCTGAACAGTGCAGCTTTGAAATGCATTGGATACATTATTGATATTTTAAAGAAGACGGCAAGGCAGCAAAAAGAAAAACAGCTGGAAGAGGTGAATGTGCTGCATTCTAAGAAATAAATATGACTTGACATTGGGGATTTTGAGATTTACAGAGCGAAAGCTGCATGCAGGGCTGCACCCTAGCTACAGCAGTAGCAATGCAGTAGCAGAACTTATCTGGAGAGCCACACAGGCTGTGATCAGGAAGACCATCCCACATCAAGGTTGTTGGTCAAGTGTGAACAGCAATGGTAGACAGCACAGCATGTGAATGAGCATGTTGGTGAGTATCTGTATTGCTATGTCCAGTTTAGTTCACATGCCCATCCCACCAGCCAATTGTTCCCTCCCATGTTCTGGTAATAGCAAGAGGAGTACAACAAGGACATCTGGTGCCAACAACAGGACAGCATTAACCTTTCAAATGGGTAACCTCATTGTCGTCATAAAATACAAGTGTGAATAGCCAAATGGGAGGTGATATTTTAGGGAAGGGGCACTGTGGTCATTTCCATCCTACCTATGTCTTTGGAGCCTGAGACAAGCTGTTGACCCTAGAACTTCTATCTTTCCTAGAGAATCACAACCCCTGCACCTGCAAGCTTCTGGTAACCTAGAATTTTGACCTACCCAAGTGAATGTTCTTGAGCCTCATTCCATTGATATCCAACTCCTTCAATTCTGACCTTTTCTACCACCTTGAACTCCTTAACTAACACATACAATTCCTTCATTTTCTGTTCTTAAATGCTGTGGTAGTTGACCCAGTCAATTTTAGCCCTCAGAGGATTATTCATATTTGCTCCTTTGTAACATGGGTCTGTTGGCTTTGCAGTTTCCCCTTAAATCTTGCAACTCTGACTCCTGTGACACTGAGCTTATAAACACTGAGCCTTTGCCACTGCTCTTTGAACTTCCGGTTATTATCCCCTTACCCTTTTGTACATTTCACCTGACCCCATTCGCATGGGGAGCACTTGCCGTTAACAGGGTCACAGAAACCCCACCATTCTTTGTTCCACTTGTTATTTGTTCCTAACCACCTCCTTTAAGTTTCCTGCCAATTAAGAAACAAAAGACAACACTACAGTATTTTTAGGAGCTCAAAGGTCCATAAATGCACAGAGTAAAGGTTGGTCCCCTGGTAAAAAGTCAGGAGCAACTGTTTTAACTGCAAAGCACTTCACACCAAAAGCGACTTCACAGGCGTCTGCGCAACTGCATGGGAAAAGGTTGGTGGAAACCAAGATACACATGATAAGCCAGCAATTGCCTTTACAACTGGAGCTGCCAGGGAAAGTGCACCTGCTAACATGGAAGCAGCTGCTGGATTTTTACAAGCATATAGCCTGGCCTGTATTTCCCTATACGGTCAGGTATCGACGCTCTTACTTAGAGAATTTCAGAAATGTGAATAAATTCCGCACTCCAAAATATATTTGCGTCATATTAGGACACATGCACCTCAATCTCATTTGCATAGTGATTAATATGCAGAACCTTATAACGTGGTGAGGCAGTGACGCACAACTGACCGCCAGTTTGTTGCATCGCTGGGGCTTACCATGAGGTAGAGGGACAAGGCAGGGAGGCATGGTGGAAGCACAGTGGTGGGTGTGCCAGATTGGCTTTGCCATTGTGTTTGCAACAGACTGACCTCACTGCAGCCTCACCCCCTTTATGTAAGCAGCAGTGCAAGCAACCGGAGGTCAAGGCAGCAGTGGAGCCCCACAAAGCTGTCTGCTATTAGCAATATGCTCAGCATTGGGGAAAGGCCAAATTAAGGGAACTGCTAATGCAAAATGAAAAATAAAACAAAGCGTTCATTTAACATCTAAGCTGCACATAAACCTATTTTCTGATACTATAAATAGGATTTAGTAAATAAGACTTTTAAATTTCCTAGTCCGTCCATCCCATAGTCCAAACTCAGCTATAAGTGATACTAGGTAAACAAGAGAATAATTTGGAAATAACTGGTAGCAGCAGAAGGAATAAGAAAAGCAGATGACTTCAATATATAAAGAGCTAAGTGATGCGGATCCTATCTGAGGAAATATAAAGGTGGGATTTTAACCTAGAGATAATACAACAAAAAGTGCCAAGCTGGCAGAGACTTGAGTATTTCTTGGAGTTATAATTAAGGCAGAGGAAGGCTATCAGATTTCCCTTTCTGCAATGAAGCCGCATTCTAGACTTTTATCCCATGAACTATTAAAATCCCTTTCTTTTATGTAACAATAATTGCCTAATTTGCTGAGGACCACAATCTTTCTTTCTTTCTTTCCAAGCAAGGCTATTTTGGCCTCAGTGCTAAAGCACAGTAACCAAACCCACACGTTTCCTTATAAAACATAAATGCCTCGTGGTGAACAAGATAAACGGAGGCATCCATGCCTCGGGACAAGCAGGCTCTATGACACCTGCTAAACTACATCCATGGCTGTTTTAATTCCAACTAATTCTCCACCTGGCAATTTCATTGGCATGGTACCCATGTTGCAACTTTACTGGAGCTTGTCTGCATTTTTTCCCTAGTTTTTGGATTTACACCACACATTAACCCCTTTGTAAATGCTCTCTTTTCCCAGTCATAATTGATGCTAACTGGTGAAAAGCATGCACAAAATGGTACGGTGAGTCATGAACAAATACATTTAGCAGCTTAAGGGCCGGGTATTATTAAATTGGAGGAGATTCTGAATTAAAAAGCTAGGTAGCTAGGCAACAGCTGGCTTCCAACTGTGAATAGTTTTCTGTCATACTCTTTATAGTTGGGATAGAATCATTACTCTGTGGAACTTCTAAACAGTTAACAGAATCCCGCTCTGCGTATTGTAATTAAGAAGAGGATAAAACGGAGTATTTTCAAATTGGATGGGTCTATAGGGATCCCTGTGGAAAATATCCAAGGTTTCCAGCGAGTGACTTTCATAAAGCGCAGCGCACATGTTGTTACTAGAGTAAAAATGCATTGTGTGAAAAGAATGATAAAGAAAATGTACTGGAGATAAAGCAACAATTAAGCATGCGAGTAGTTCATTTTTTTTTTAATTTTAAAAACAGCAAAATCAGGATAAAAAGTTAAGATTACAGCTTTTTGCATACAAACTTCACAGGCAGAAAAGCCACTCTGCAGATTTAATAAGGTTCCCATATAGATTTTATTCACCTTGACTCAACAGAAATAAGACTGAAAACTGACTTCTGAAAATGGGCTTTAAAATTCTGTGCTGAAGGGTGGGCAAGTGCAATTAACCAAAAAGATCCATGCAGAGGCAGCACAATATAGGATGCAACAGTCGCAATTTATAAATATGTGTGGTACAATCTAGTCAAGGACATGGCCCAACTCTCCAATGATGCTTGGTGTGGTGTAGAAACCTCTAGCTTTTGCGTGATTAGTATGCAGCCTATTATACAAAGTTAAGCATTAAAACTTAAAACCCACTTTGGTTATTGGCCCCAGTAACCTTTGCTTCTGGCTCTGCCCACCACTAGAATGGAGCCACCACTGCATTGTTCTAAATGCTTCTATACATTAATCCTTACAGCAACTCACTGTAAGGTAGGCTCACATTGTTACCCTAATGATAGGAGGGTGAAAGGCAGAGGTAGCAGCTTGCCTCTGGCCAGTCTAGGTTGAAATTTTAATCAGAGATATCCTAGCCGACAGCTACACTCCCAGCTCTCTCTCAC